GGAACAGAAGCCAGTCGAGCCATTAGAAAATCCAAGGGGTTTATATATAAATAAGAGTGAATACCTGGGAAGCAGCACATGGCTCACAAGCCTTCCACATAACACTGGAGGTTCTGTGCCAATAGGCCCCTGGCATGTCCCGGACCACACCAGGCACACCTTCCCCTGTGCGGGGGGCCTCGCCAGGGCTCCCCTGTGGCTGGAGTGTGGGTGGAGCAGGGCCCTTCTCCCATGTGCCCAAGACGGCCACAGCCAGGCTCAGCTGAGAGTCGTCTTCCTGCCCCGGCCAGCCTGTGTGGCTCCCGCACGCAGCTCCTGTGCCGCCTCAGTGCTGGGCTGCCCCGCTCCCCCAGCCATCCCTCCCTCAGCTGCTCAGCCTGGGATCTGCCCTTCAGTCTGTCTGTGGAAGGAAGAGCCAACTCCCCTGGGCCCATGCAGCCAAGACCTCAGCAGCCACCTGGAGCTGAGAGCCAGGTGAGCCCAGTGAATTCCCAGCCTTGTCCAATTTCCTCAGGTGCCTTCTCCTGGGGCTCTGGCCCTGGGCCCCTGGCAGGGCTGAGAGTGCCCTGATCCACAGGCTGGAGGTAGGATGGAACCTGCACTCCATGGGCCTCATAGGTGGCTCTCGGGAGAGGCCTGACCTTTGGCAAGAGGGTTGGTGGGTGGGGAGCCCTGTTTCTTTCCAGAGACCTGGGCAACCTGGGTCCCCAGCCAGGTGGTGGCAACCTCGAGGCCCTCCTATAGGTCCTCCGAAGGGATCAGCATCCTCTTCTCTATGTTCCGGCTCTTCCTGCCCCCACCAGAGCCACCGGCTGTGCCGGGGTGGGGGCTGGGTGAGGGGTGCACACCCTGGCCGGGCCTTGGGGCCTCATGAGTGGCCTGCTGCGTGTAGTGCTGGTAGGCAGGGGAGAAGTTGTGGATGGCGTCCTGCACGATGTCTTGGGGACTCATGGTCTCCTTGAGGCCGCTGGAGATGCTCTGCATGGTTGCTGTGGGGGCTGGGAGGTAGAGAGCACATGGGCTGGGGCTGGGGGGCTTCCTGGACCCCATCATCCTCCCATTATAACCCAGCCCAGGGACACAGCCTCTCAGCCCCACCTCCCTGGTCTACCCTGATGTGTCTGCTCCCCACCGGCCTTGGGCTGCCCAGGGCTGTGGCTCCTGCATGTCCAGGACCCCCAAGACCCCTAAACCCCAGCCCAGCTCCTCCATCTTACCCCAACATTGGGGCCTGTCCCTGCCCAGACCCCTGCCAGGGGCCATGTCCCCCTTGAGTTTCTGAGGGGCTCTCAGGGGGGGATGCCTTGGGCTGGCCTGGGGTGAGCCCTTCATACCCTCCACACTGACCAGATGGGGCCAGGCAGCATCAGGGCAGCCATAGGCCATCCCTGCCCAAATGGTCCATTCACTAGGGATGCCAGCCCCAGCCATTCTCAGCCCCTCCTGTCAGGCTGGTCTCAGCGTCTGGGTGTGGAAACAGGGCACACCCGGCTGGGGGCACCAATGCCCTATCACTGGAGGGATCCTCTGGCCTCTGTCCCAGTCCAGCCTTGTCTCACTCAGAGCTGCAAGCATCTGCCTGCCTGGCTGCCTAGACCCGATGCCGATGAAGGGCCTGTCCAGCGAGTTGACATCCCTGGGCCTCGTGTGTGGATGGATGCCTGGCACGTCGCAGCATACCTGGCGAGTTTTCCTTCTTCTCTGAGTACACCTGGCAGGTGAAGGCGTACCGCAGGGCGATGGAAGCGAACAGCATCTCGATGCAGATGATGAAGTTCTGGTAGCCTGCAGCCAGTGTGCCGGCCCCCACCCTGCTCCCGTCGATGGTCTGGACCTCGGGGATGACCCCACACCTCTCCAGGATGGCCAGCAGCATCCCTGGGGATGGCAAGAGCCACTCAGGCCCCCAGCCTTGGATGGGAGGCTGGATGGAGCTGACCCCAGCCAAGGTCCTCACTGACGCTGGCCTGGGGGATTGGCGGGGGTCTGCAGGGTAGGAAAAGTTTCAGGCCCCCACAGCATCTCCACTGTGACCTGCCCTGTGATATCCTGTCCATGCAGTCTCATTCCAAGGACAGAGAGCCTGAGGTTCACAGGGGCTGGGCATCTCCAAAGTCAGGGGTCTTGGCATAGGGGATGCCCAGAAGCTCCCTGAGGGCCCACCCTGCTATGTCCAGCCCCAGACCTGGGTCCAACCCCCAGCTCTCACCGTCTGGCAGTTGTTGTCCTCTGCAAATGGGGGCTGCGAGTGCCCACGGCCTGGCTGGGAAGAGGACTTAGGAAACATTGGTGTGGCCTCTACCTGCTCCCTCTGCACAGCCTATCTCCCCTGACTAAGGGGCCAGATCTGATGAGCGGACCTCCCCACTTTCCCTGTACCCAGGGGCTTTACAGGCTTCAAGCTGATACTGACCTCTGCTACAGCTGGGGAAACTGAGGACACATGGGGACTGGTGGTGGAGGTGTGATTTGAACTCAGGTTCTCTGGACTCCAGCCCCTGCCTCAGCAACCCCACATACCCTGCCAAAAGGACAGAAAGATGACCGCCTTGATGGTGAGAAACTTGAGGATGGGCTCGAAGGGCCGTAGGAGCTCCCTGGTGGCGAAGTAGAAAAGGAACAGGGCGTAGAGGGCCAGGCTGACGGAGGCGTTGTAGACCAGGGTCACATAGAGGTAGCCACTGTGGATGCTGAGCCAGAAGAGGGGTTGTGGTCAGGACAGGTCCTGTACCCCCTTCTGCCCTCCCTTTGGCTCGGCCCTTCTCCCTGAGCCTGGGCAATGCTGTCGCCCGGGACCCTCCCTCCAGGGCTGCAGACAGCAGAGGGGAGCCTCACTGAGTCCCATGCAGGGGTATGGCAAGGATGTGTGGCTGTTCTCCCCACAGAGCCCTCCTGCCCCTCCTCATCTCAGGATACTGTCCCCCTTTCTCAACCCTGACTGCCCTGTCAGAAAACTGCCCCTTCCCCCAGTCTCCATTCACCTGGTCACAGCCCAAAGGAATGGGTCCTCCATGTTGTGGACACACAGGCATGTCTGTGTTATGTGTGTGCAAGTGCATGTGTGAACGTACATGTGTGATGCATGCATGCTCATGGTGCGTGCATGTGAGTGAGCCTGTGTGTGTGTGGACCCTCCCTGCGCAAGCTGGGGCACTCCCCACCTGCACTCTGCTCAGTTGGCAGGTCAGGGAAGAACCTGGCTCCCTTGGCCCAGGTGCCCTTAAATCCAACCTTTGTCCACCTGGGGAGGGGTTCCACGGCAGGGTGGGGATTGAGGGACCCATTGCCGCCTGGGCCATGCAGCCCTGGGGTCCTCAGCATGCACATCATGACAAGGCACAGCTCCTCTCGGTCTTATTAGCCACAGCCTCCCCCTGGCAGTTTCCTATGAGGAGGGGGAGGCCTGGCTTAGCTCTACACTGAACTGCCCTCCTATGGCCCTGTGCCCCAGCTAGGTTCCTGTGCGTACCCCCCTGGCCTTACTTGAAGTCTCCGTCATGGTATTTGCCGAATGCCTGCAGGACAATGGTGGTCAAGGCCATGATGGGCTTCACAATGCAGAACTGCAGCGTGGCCTGGGGTGGACAGTGGGAGTGAGGGTGGGTACAGGGCAGGAGGCATGGAGCAGCTGTCAGTGAGCCAGCCCCCAGCCCTTGCCCCAGTGGGTGGGTGGAAGAGAACTGGGGTGGGTGGAAGGGGCTGGGCAGAGGCAGGCAGGGGGAAGACCCCCACTCACCTGCTTGCAGAATCGCAGGAACCCGATGGAGTAGGACATGCCCTGCAGGCAGCAGGTGCCATAGAAGCAGCTGGACCTGGGAGTGGGAAGTCCCTGAAACGGGGCTTGGAGGACACAGTCCCCAGTACCAGCCCAGGCTGCTCCATCCTGGGCATGTGGGGTGTTGGGAAGAGCTCTGGGTGAGGGACTTACTTGATGGGCTTCCCCCGAATCTCAGCCATGATGGCACTCTCGCCCCCCAGGTACTGGAAACAGAGGCTCAGGAAGCTGTAAATGACAAAGGCTGCGGGCGGGCAAGGTGACAGGTGAGCCCGGTGGCCCACGGGGACCCCGCCCTGCACAAAGGCTCCTGCCAGACCCACACAGAACTCTGAGGTGCCCATTTCATGGGGGACAAGCTGAGGCTCAGGAGGGGCTGTGACTGGCAGGCCTGGAGGTCTGGAGACTGAGGTCTCCCCATGGGCCTCGCTCAAACTGCTCCAGCTCGGCGCAGCTCTGGGCGCACACCATCCCAGGAGAGGTATAGCCAGCAGCACGTCACAGCTGCAGTGGGCACCCTCTGCCTTCCCCATCCAGGCTCAGGGCAGGCCCACCTGCAGTCCATCCCCAGTGGAGGCCTGGGGGTCTTGTATCCAAACCTGCTAGCATCGCTGATCTGGCAGCCCCTCCCAACAGGGGCCAGGAACATAGGGGCACTGTGGGTGGAGGGCTGGCCATGGAAGTGTGTGTATGTGTGCAGGCCCCGGGAGTCCCCTCACTTGGCTGCCCCCACCTAACCCAGCTTTGGGCTTCTCTTTCTCTCTCTGTTTCCCTCTCAGACAACGCTGGGTGGCCCAGAGCAGCGTCACTCACCTTCGTAGCAGTCCCGCACGGAGTCAAAGTAGACGTAGTACTGGTGGTCTCCCAGGAGGAGGAGGCTGAGCCAGGAGTCGAAGGCATAGATGGGCACGATGAGAAGCAGCCGGATGATATAGCGCTGCTCGTGCGGCACGGTGTAGGAGCGCAGGTGCAGGTATATCTGGGCAGGGGTGGTGAGTGTTAGGGTGCGGCTGGCAGGCCACCTGCCACCCCGCTGCCTTGTGCCAGCTCAGACAAGGCAGTGGAGGGTGGGGGGGTGTGCAGAGTTCTCCTATTGGCAGGCCACCTGTGACCTTATATTTTCCTATATTTTCTAGTTTTCTGCAATGAGCATGCTTATTATAATTAGAGAAAATAAATATTTTTAAATTGTAATCAGATAATATATTTTATATATACTTCATATATATAACTATGTATTAAACAGATATTTCTGATTACAGTAGAATTAGATCTATGTTTTTTAAATTTATTTTTTAATTGACAAATAAAAATTGTACACATTTATGGTGTGCAATATGATTCATTGTGGAATGGTAAATCAAGTCATTATCCATTATCTCTCATAATTATTTTTTTTGTGGTGAGGACACTTAAAATCTATTCTCTTAGCAATTTTCAAGTATACGTACATTGTTATTTATAGCAGTCACCATGTTGTACAATAGATCTCTTGTTTTTCAGTAAATAACTTCCTTGGGCGTGGATGGATGCCTGTTCTTAGCATACTCTGGCAGGGGGGACACTCATTCATTCATTCATTCATTCATTCATTTATTAAGCAAGAATTTCTTGAGACCTGCTCAGTGTCAGACCCTGGGGGAAGAGAGAGGGACATATCATGACCCTAATGGGGCACAGGCAACCTGGAAAGCAGTTTGCTGTCAACATGGGGACGGACATGCGCTCCCTTTGACCCTTATTAGGAATTTGTCCCTAGGAACAAATCTATTCAGAAATATAGAAAAAGATTTGTGTACAAGGACGGGACCCCGTACGTGGTGGTGGGGCAGGGCTAGTGCAACCGTACAAAGGGTTGTTAAATATTAAACATCATTAAAAAGATGCTCACATATATACCCATATGGGAAAATGCTCTGACAGAATGTGACATCTAAAAATCAGGATGAGGGCTGGCCGGTTAGCTCATTTGGTTAGAGTGTGGTATTATAGTACCGAGGTCAATGGTTCAGATCCCTGTACCAGCCAACTGCCAAAAAAAAAAAAAAAAAAAAAA